ACCAACGGCTGCATGGGAACATTACCAAGGCGTGCAATGGAACATTACCAAGCTGCACGGAACAATTACCAAGGCTGCATGGAACATTACCAAGGGCTGCATGGAACATTACCAAGGCTGCACGGAACCTAACCCAAGGCTGCAAACGGAACATAACCAAGGCTGCACAGAAACATTACAAGGCTGGCACAGAACATTACCAAGGCTGCACGGAACATTACCAAGGCTGCACGGAACATTACCAAGGCTGCACGGAACATTACCAAGGCTGCATGAAACATTACCAAGGCTGCACGGAACATTACCAAGGCTGCACAGAACATTACCAAGGCTGCATGGAACATTACATTGGAACATGGACGATCTTGAAATCTGTTGAACTCCTTGGATTGGCCTTATGCACAAAAATAGGAGAGATTTAGTGAAGGAGGATCAGAGGCGTAGTATTGCTGCTGAATAATTGTAGTTACAACTAACTACTCTCTGCCTTTGAAATACGAGGCCAGAATCTAAATATTGTCAAGGCTGTAAATCAGAGGGGTTGGTATGGCACACACACACATGCCTGAGCTGAGAAGACCATTCATATAAAACACATCCAGTAGTAAATTGTTTTCTGACATGGATTCACCTGTTCATTCTCCCCTCAGTTGGATAGGAACAGGTAGTAGTACTAAACTTCCTAAAGTATTCCTAGTGTAGCCCAACATATTTCATTTAGCTGTTATCGTTTTCAATTCCATGCATTATGAACCCCCCAGACAGTCTTCTTCACTCCTCCACTTAATCCATAAAGCTAATCCCTGTGCCTATAGTGTCAGTCAGAATAATTAAGGAACCAGAGTCACTGTTACACTAAGATTGTTTTCTACAGTGGTTTGGGCCTGGGATTTTTACTCCTGTTAAATGCACTGTCACATTGTAAAGAACACAAATGAAAGGGAACATAATGGAATCTTACTCTACCAGGAAAAAGAGAGAGAGAGAGAGAGAGAGAGAGAGAGAGAGAGAGAGAGAGAGAGAGAGAGAGAGAGAGAGAGAGAGAGAGAGAGAGAGAGAGAGAGAGAGAGAGAGAGAGAGGAGAGAGAGAGAGAGAGAGAGAGAGAGAAACTGAGTCGGGAGACACAGTGTTCTCCCTGGTAGAGAGAGATAAGGTAAGTCTCAGCTTGAACTAACAAAGAAACGTCTTACCAGACAGACTGACTGACCGACTGACACACAGACGAATATGTTGGGCAAACAACAAGACACCCAAAACAAGAGCAGGATAAGAAGACAAACTAAGAAGGAAAAGTAAAACATTTTTAAAGGCCCCTGGGTCCCCCTGATCCATCAGGTGATCTTGATAAGGGTTCTGTATCTGCACCACTGATAGTAGTTGCAGGCTGGGAGATAGAAACTATACCAAGGCTGTCTGGAACATTATATTGGAAGATTACATTTGCAACTCCTGCTTTCATTTAATAGTCAGGGAACATCAAACCAGTAACTGATATACCTGTATTTCTAAATAAGAGTCCCCCCCCCCCACCCCCCCACCCCCCACAACACCTTCCTTCCATTTCCATGTACGGATCTAGAGATGGGATATGAGAGATCATCATGCCATGGGGCAAGGAGCATAAACTTGAAGGTCACACTGTTCTGATGTAATATACAGTATGCCATGAATCTATTTCAACTCCATGGGGGCTTCTCCTGATGTGCTGCTTATTTTCTGCCTGCCGGTCTTCTTTCCCTTTTCTACCCTGGGTAGAAACATCCTGGCTTTACCTTTAATATAGTAGATTAGACTAGACTAGTTTAGAACCAAACTGAATAGACCCGGATAGAATATAATCAATTAAAACTATACAGGACCTACCCTAATCAAGTACAGTAGAGTAGAGTAGAGTAGAGTAGAGTAGAGTAGAGTAGAGTAGAGTAGCGTAGAGTAGTGGAGAGTAGAGCAGAGTAGTGTAGAGCAGAGTAGTGTACACTACCGGTCAAAAGTTTTAGAACACCTACTCATTCAAGGGTTTTCCTTTATTTTTACTATTTTCTACATTGTAGAATAATAGTGAAGACATCAAAACTATGAAATAACACATATGGAATCATGTAGTCACCAAAAAAGTGTTAAACAAATCAAAATATATTTTATATTTGAGATTCTTCTAACAGCCACCCTTTGCCTTGATGACAGCTTTGCAAACTCTTGGCATTCTCTTAACCAGCTTCACCTGGAATGCTTTTCCAACTGTCTTGTAGGAGTTCCCACATATGCTGAGCACTTCTTGGCTGCTTTTCCTTCACTCTGCGGTCTGACTCATCCCAAACCATCTCAATTTGGTTGAGGTCGGGGGATTGTAGAGCCCAGGTCATCTGATGCAGCACTCCATCACTCTCCTTCTTGGTAAAATAGCCCTTACACAGCCTGGAGGTGGGTTGGGTCATGAAAAACAAATGATAGTCCCACTAAGCCCAAACCAGATGGAATGGCGTATCGCTGCAGAATGCTGTGGTAGCCATGCTGGTTAAGTGTTCCTTGTAAATCACAGACAGTGTCACCAGCAAAGCACCCCCACACCATAACACCTCCTCCTCCATGCTTTACGGTGGGAAATACATATGCAGAGATCATCCGTTCACCCACACCATGTCTCACAAAGACACAACAGTTGGAACCAAAAATCTCCAATTTGGACACCAGACCAAAGGACACATTTCCACCGGTCTAATGTCCATTGCTCATGTTTCTTGAACCAAGCAAGTCTCTTCTTCTTATTGGTGTCCTTTAGTAGTAGTTTATTTGCAGCAATTCGACCATGAAGGCCTGATTCACACAGTCTCCTCTGAACAGTTGATGTTGAGATGTGTCTATTACTTGAACTCTGTGAAACAAATGTTGGGCTGCAATCTGAGGTAAAGTTAACTCTAATGAACTTATCCTCTGCAGCAGAGGTAACTCTGGGTCTTCCATTCCTGTGGCGGTCCTCATGAGAGCCAGTTTCATCATAGCACTTGATGGTTTTTTGCGACTGCACTTGAAGAAACTTTCAAAGTTCTTGAAATGTTCCGTATTGACTGACCTTCATGTCTTAAAGTAATGATGGACTGTAATTTCTCTTTGCTTATTTGAGCTGTTCTTGCCATAATATGGACTTGGTCTTTTACCAAATAGGGCTATCTTCTGTATACCCCCCCTTGTCACAACACAACTGATTGGCTCGAACGCATTAAGAAGGAAAGAAATTCCACAAATTAACTTTTAAGAAGGCACACCTGTTAATTGAAATGCATTCCAGGTGACTACCTCATGGAGCTGGTTGAGAGAATGTCAAGAGTGTGTAAAGCTGTCATCAAGGAAAAGGGTGGCTATCTGAAGAATCTCAAATATAAAATATATTTTGATTTGTTTAACACTTTTGTGGTTACTACATGATTCCATCTGTGTTATTTCATAGTTTTGATGTCTTCACTATTATTCTACAATGTAGAAAATAGTAAAAATAAAGAAAAACCCTTGAATGAGTAGGTGTTCTAAAACTTTTGACCGGTAGTGTAGAGTAGAGTAGTGTAGTGTAGAGTATTGTAGAGTATTGTAGAGTAGTGTAGTGTAGAGTATTGTAGAGTAGAGTAGAGTAGTGTAGAGTAGAGTAGAGTAGAGTAGAGTAGTGTAGAGTAGAGTATTGTAGAGTATTGTAGAGTAGTGTAGTGTAGAGTATTGTAGAGTAGAGTAGTGTAGTGTAGAGTAGAGTAGAGTAGAGTAGAGTAGTGTAGAGTACTGTAGAGTAGTGTAGTGTAGTGTAGAGTAGAGTTGTGTAGTGTAGAGTAGAGTAGAGTAGGGTAAATAATAGTAGAGTAGAGTAAAGTAAAGTAGAGTAGAGTAGAGTAGAGTAGAGTAGAGTAGAGTAAAGAATAGTAGAGTAGAGTAAAGTAAAGTAGAGTAGAGTAGTGTAGAGTAGAGTAGAGTAGAGTAGAGTAAAGAATAGTAGAGTAGAGTAGAGTAAAGAATAGTAGAGTAGAGTAAAGTAAAGTAGAGTAGAGTAGTGTAGAGTAGAGTAGAGTAGAGTAAAGAATAGTAGAGTAGAGTAGAGTAGAGTAGAGTAGTGTAGAGTAGAGTAGAGTAGAGTAGAGTAGAGTAGAGTAGAGTAGAGTAGAGTAGAGTATTGTATAGTATAGTATAGTAGAGTAGAGTAGAGTAGTGTAGAGTAGAGTAGAGTAGTGTAGAGTAGAGTAGAGTAGAGTAGTGTAGAGTAGAGTAGAGTAGAGTAGAGTAGAGTAGAGTATTGTAGAGTAGAGTAGTGTAGAGTAGAGTAGTGTAGAGTAGAGTAGAGTATAGTATAGTAGAGTAGAGTAGAGTAGAGTAGAGTATTGTAGAGTAGAGTAGAGTAGAAGAGAATAGGTCTCACCTGGACTGGCATGGCCCACAGGTTGGGACAGAGGAAGAAGAACCACATGAGCTGGTTGGTATCTATGGCGACCAGGTTACAGATTTGTCCTACTGTCAGTTCTCCCATGGACATGTTGGAGGTGCACAGCCGCATGATCTTATTGTAGATCTTAGTCTGGAAGGAGAACACAGCCAGACACATCATGGGGAAACCGATCAATTAACCTGTGTTTTTATAGTTACCAGAGGACATAGCCTTACTATAACTCAGCTAAAATATGATGTCGTTTGGCAACTCTCATTCTTAGTTCCCTCTGCTACACACGTATAATAACGAAAACATAGGGAACAATGTATGAACCTACCCTCTATGAGCAATACCTTGCTGCTATAGACAGGCGTACTGCACAATATAGAGGTATTGACACTGCAGACGCTTTCTAACGCTGAATCCCTGATGCTAAGTAATAGAGAATAAGAATAAACGTAAGGGGTAAGAATCTCTTCACACAACTCTCCATTGACATCAATGTGTGATGTATGTGAAAGTCTACAGAGATCACACTGTAGAGATCCACAATTTTGCAATGTGGTCCCTACTGTATATAAGCCTACAGTACAGTACCTGTATAGCCCCTCGTAAGTTGATGCCCGTCTCGATAGCCACATAATACGAGGCCTGGAGGAAGGTTCTCTGCAGGATGAGGGCGAAGAACAGCAGCACGGCCAGCACGTAGGCATTCGCCAAGAACTCTTGAGAGGAGATAAAGTAGACCCCCAGCAGCTTTATCTGAAAGCACAGCGAGAGACACAGACATGGACCCAGTCAGTCAGTACACCCAGTCAGTATCCTACTCACACAGACAGGGCGAACATCTCAATTGTAAATTCCTCGCGTCCTTCTCAAAACCCATTGGAGTAGAAGGTCAGAGGGGAGGTACCTCTGGCTTTCTCATCCAATGGGTTTTGAGAAGGAGATGAGGAGAGAGGAGAAAGGACGTGAGGAGTATGACATTGCGATCTTCCCAGGAGCTGCCAGCAGGGAGGGCAAGGGAAAGAACAGCCATTCCAGTATGGAAAGTCTGACTGTGACTGTTATGAAATGGCAGGTTCAAAATCTACAGCAGAGATCTACTACTAATATCCAACCACATCTGTTTACAAGACAGTAATCAAGCATCAAAGAGAATATGTACATCAGAGGGGGAAATGCTTTGATTTTCTATAAGGATATTACAGAATCATTCCTAACACGCAGAGGAGAATAACTCCCAGAAATTCCTTAAGATGATCAATCAACAGTCCACTTCAAGTCATCTGAGTCAACGGAGTCATTGTAGTCATCTGTTGTATCTTATCTAACTACACACCATAACACTCTGGATCAGGCCAGCTATTCGTGGAACACTCTCCCTCTATCTCTGCACTGTAATGATGATGGATGTCCTCAGTCATTCAGTTCTACCAGTGAATCACACCAAGGCTGGGGTCATTCCATAACAAATCCACTGTCTTAAGGAAGTTCAATACACCGACATCCTTCAGGTGTGAAACCCTAACATTGGATTATGCCGTAAAGGGTCTCAGGTGAAAATGTAATGCACTCACTAACTGTAAGTCGCTCTGGATAAGAGCGTCTGCTAAATGTAAATGTAAGGGATATCTTATCTCTCATCTCTCCTATCTCTGAGGAGCCATTCAAACTGGAACAGGACAGGTAATAAATACATCTCTATAAATCATTTAGCAGGTACCCCTCCCCCTCTCTCTCTCTCTCTCTCTCTCTCTCTCTCTCTCTCTCTCTCTCTCTCTCTCTCTCTCTCCTCCCCTCTCTCGCTCTCCCTCCCTCTCTCTTTCTCTCTCTCACACACACACACACTCATACACAGACACATTTTACAGTGTTTGAATGGCATACAGCCGACTCCTTTCCCGAGTGTATGTCAAATTAATGCAAATAAATACTTTGTTTGAGTGCACTCCCATGCATGCTTTCGAGTGCTCAGGACATCTGGGTGCTCCATTCCACGCATTCACAATAAGCTATTGCCACGTTCCATGACATTGCATTTATCAGTTGACTACACAGCCTTTTCTTGTCAGTCTCATGGTGATATTTTTAGCTTGATATCACTCTTTAATATTTAATCTCTTCCAGGGGCGACTATTTTAGTCTACCCTCGGACCAAAAACACTGTCAAGATGGAGATAGAGACGGAGGAGAAAACTGTCTGACTTCTATGAGTGACTACAGATGACATGGCCACCCAATGTTTCCAAATCAGCTCCCCTATTAGAAATTATATTGTGTAACTAACTCAGTGACATTCAAACAAAATCATCAAATGCCTTTTCTTCAGGAGAGGGCATACCTTATTTGCCTTCTATGAGGAGCTACAGAACACACAGCCTTTTACAGTTACTGAGACAAATCAGCAATATTCCACTACGCAACTTTCAAACCAATAACTGAGGATCTATCATTACAGCAGGAGAGGGGATCTGAATGGGGTCAGTACAGGAGATCTGACAGATGCGTCCGTGTCCTGCTCTGAGTGGAATTAGAGAGGAGTCAGAGAGCCAGACAGACAAACAGACAGCAGCACAGTGAGGCTGCCAGTCATTAGCCTCAAGGATTTCACCTTTGAGGACGTTGGCTGTATGAGGCTAGTGCCACATTAAATCAATAAATACACATTAAATAATACTTAAGTGTCAAATATCTAGAATAAATACATAATGGGTTATTAAATGTGTCATAATTATCAAATCGATTCATTTTTGTAAAATACATATAATATTTATATTAATTATGTCATGGATCCTGCGTTGGAGTGTCCTGATACTAAACTGTCAAACGACCATCAAAAGTTGGTAGGAACTACGGGGTTACCCTCTGAGCCAAGACAATCAATTCGGATAATCAGCAGTCATCTTCAATCCTCTGCAAGTTTAAAAGTCTTACACTCCCGGAAAGTCACGAGATCCTCCTGTCTTATCCAGGCCTACTCATTGACAAAGCATGATCGACTAGATCGCGTAGCCCCGCCACTGACTTTGTGGTCGTCAGTTTTAGTATCTGAATCCGCAAGCTCAGGAATGTAAATGTAAATAGTGAAATAATTATATTTTTTACTAAATGAATCGATTTGATAATTAAGAACATTAATTACACATTTAGATTATCTAATGAATTAATTATGTTTAATATATTTAATGTGTCTTTATATTAATTGTGCACTATCCTCCATTATGCTGGAGGAGGAAAGTAAATGTCATATCAGAATGGAAACCTGGGCCTGTATCCACAAAGCGTCTCAGAGTAGAGAACTGGTGTAAGTGCGAGAAAGAGACGTTTACTCTACATTATGGTAAAAATAAAGCTATCATGAAGCTCTTAGTATAAGTCACACCTAGTCGGCATTGCTTGCTGTTTGGGGTTTTAGGTGGGTTTCTGTATAGCACTTTGTGACATCTGCTGATGTAAAAAAAAAAAGGGCTTTATAAATAAATTGGATTGATTGATTGATATTTAGGAGTCCCACCAGTCCTAACCAGTTAGGAGTTACCAGCAGGTGTCTTGATAATAGAAAAATGCAGCAAGTCAGTGGTTCCTCTGCCATAGACAGGCAACTGCTTTGGAGTTGTTGAAACAATGTTTTTATATTTCTATATGATCAAACCATAAATAATCCAGACTTACATGCAACAGTATCTCTTGCGCTTTAGACAATGATTTCACATGATATGCCTACATACTTATAACCACTAGGCTAATAAATAATCACATTCTTTTATTTCCATTATTTAATTACCTACATCATGTTTTTTCAAGTTATCCATTTGGAGCACAACATCACGTTGTTAAAAATATGTCTAAATTGGGCATGCCTATAAGTTGGGAAATTGAAGGCATCTAGGGGCTTATGTTAACCTTGATTGTGTAAATATTATAGACCTTTCAAACATTTCTCTTGTTGGCTGGTCCTCACTACATATTCATCGCCAAACCCACTGGCTCCAGGCCATCTATAAATCACTGCTAGGCAAATCCCTGCCTGATCTTAGCTCATTGGTCACCATAGCAACACCCACCCGTAGTATGCGCTCCAGCAGGTATATCTCACTGGTCATCCCCAAAGCCAACACCTCCTTTGGCCGCCATTCCTTCCAGTTCTCTGCTGCCAATGACTGGAACAAATTGCAAAAATCTCTGAAGCTGGAGACACTTATCTCCCTCACTAACTTTAAGCATCAGTTGTCAGAGCACCTTACCGATCACTGCACCTGTACACAGCCCATCTGAAATTAGCCCGCCCAACTACCTCATCCCTATATTGTTATTTATTTTGCTCATTTGTACCCCAGTATCTCTATTTGCACATCATCTCTTGCACATCTAGCATTCCAGTGTTAATACTAATTGTAATTATTTTGCACTATAGCCTATTTATTGCCTTACCTCCATAACTTGCTACATTTGCACACACTGTATATATATTTTTTCTGTTGTATTTTTGACTTTGTTTTGTTTTACCCCATATGTAACTCTGTGTTGTTGTTTTTATCGCACTGCTTTGCTTTATCTTGGCCAGGTCGCAGTTGTAAATGAGAACTTGTTCTCAACTGGCTTACCTGGTTAAATAAAGGTTAAATAAAAAAATAAATACAAAAATAAAAAAGTATGCAAGGTTGTATTCAACATTATCGGCAAGTGACTTGATGCCTACTGTGCCAAAGTGATTTAGAGTTGTTAAACGTGCGTGACGAGTGTGTTGATAGAATGGTAATTATTGTAAAAATTCCACTTTTAACAACTTTCAGAATTGTTTTTTTTTAAAACGGTTATGCATGCCAACATACAGTATTAGGCAATAATTAGTAGGCAAAGTGATCGTGTCAGGCGAATATTATATCAAACGTTTTATTGCAACATTTGATGTAAAGTCACATTCACTGTGGTTGTCTGAAGCGTGCTATAGAGTTCATAGCTGTTGATGCCTCATTGCGATTGGTTATTCCCCATAATTTGCAATAATGTCAATGAAATTCATCAACAGCTTTCCTTTGCGGTACCTCAAACTGTCGTGATTACCAGCTGAGATAAATTTTTATGAGTTGGTTTTACTCCTGACTCTGAGTTTGTCTGAGCAGTGCCTTAACATCATCCTAAAACCTACTCTGAGCTGGGAGTTTTTTGTTGTTGTCTTAAAACAGGTTTTAACAGGATTCCTAAGACCTTTTCTGAGATGCTTTGTGGATACAGGCCTTGACCTTTTGAAAGTCAGGAGCTCATGGGATATCTGTCTCTCTCACTCTCTCAACAGTGAGCGTGTGTGAGTGTGTGCGTGCATCCGTGCGTGCGTGTGTCTCCTTGCCGTCAGCGGAGGCGGCTGAGGGTAGGACGGCTCATAATAATGCCTGGAATGGAGTCAACGGAATGGTATCAAACATGTGGTTTGCATGTGGTTGATACCATTCTATTGACTCCATTCCAGCCATTACTATGAGCCATCCTCCCCTCAGCAGCCTCCGCTGGTGTACGCATAATGTCTTCTCACCGGGGGCTGTATGGTGCGGTTGTCCTTGCTGATGTGATGGACGATGCCAGAGATACAGAGGGGCCCAGCGAAGCCCAGCAGGTCAGCCAGGAAGCGGAAGGTGATGCTGATGATGAGGGGCCGTCCAAATGCCTGGCGTAGGGCCCTCCAGATCCACTTAGGGCCCTGCGGCATGGAGCCCAGAGGCCTCTGCAAGAGGAAGGACATCATGGTTGTATCAGGTAAAACAGTGAAAAGTAAAATGTCCATGTACAGTCTTACCCAAGTTCCAATTAAGGAACCTGAGTTAATTGGACTCTTGCAGCGGTTCTCACAGTCAGTCTCCTCCCACACACAGTGTGGCTATTCCCTGTGGGTTTCTTACACAAGCAAAACAAGGCCACTCATCAAAAGGCTGTTAAAGGAACATGAAAAGATAATTAGCTGGAACAAAAACCTGCATACCCAAGGCGATCAGGAGCCAATTACATCTACAGAATAGAAACCTGCATGGAACCTGGAATTTAGTGTTGAATGGAATTCACTGTTTAATAGAATTCAGTGTTTAATAGAATTCAGTGTTGAATGGAATTCACTGTTTAATAGAATTCAGTGTTGAATGGAATTCAGTGTTGAATGGAATTCACTGTTTAATGAAATTCTGTGTTTAATGAAATTCTGTGTTTAATAGGATTCAGTGTTTAATAGGATTCAGTGTATAATGATATTCAGTGTTGAATGGCTTTCAGTGTTTAATGGCTTTCAGTGTTTAATGGAATTCAGTGTTTACTGAGGGGAGAAGGAGAAGAGCGTGGTTCTCGTGCTTTTCAGTAGTAATGATGTCCTCCCAACATGCCATCTCCTGACTTCAGTCCTAATGACTCAGGCTACTGTGGCATCGGCACACCGCACAATGGGACCTCACAGAAGAGGTTCGTTCAGATCTGAAAGTACACCAGCATTCAGGCATTCGGGAATTCAGGCATTCAGGCATTCAAGTGTTTGTGTGCAGTCAAATAGTTTGTCCGATCTCAAAAGGTTGAAACCCTCCATGTATAATGCATGAAGGCCAAACATTTACTGTAGTCAACCCCGCTGACATGAATGCGTTGTGTGATGTTTACACATGTATTGTTAGTGAAGATCGGGGACAACATCTAGCTACTTTGGGCTGCAGAGAGGTAAATAATCATGGTGTCCTCCTGGTTTTCCAACTCCTCTCTAGGGGGTGATTGGCTTGGAGGCAGCCTCTCGTCAGGCTCTTTGATGCAGAGAGCACGAGGGCAGATACATACATAAATAAACAAAAAATGTATAAATAAACCAGATTTGATTCTTCTGCTTCTGATACTTCACATTCACTTCCGAAACTTTCCAGTTTCATGGATATACAGTTGAAGTCGGAAGTTTACATACACCTTAGCCAAATACATTTAAACTCAGTTTTTCACAATTCCTGACATTTAATCCTAGTACAAATTCCCTGTCTTAGGTCAGTTAGGATCACCACTTTATTTTAAGAATGTGAAATGTCAGAAAAATAGTAGAGAGAATAATTTATTTCAGCTTTTATTTCTTTCATCACATTCCCAGTGGGTCAGAAGTTTACATACACTCAATTAGTATTTGGTAGCGTTGCCTTTAAATTGTTTGACTTGGGTTAAACGTTTTGGGTAGCCTTCCACAAGCTTCCCACAATAAGTTGAGTGAATTTTGGCCCATTCCTCCTGACAGAGCTGGTGTAACTGAGTCAGGTTTGTAGGCCTTCTTGCTCGCACACGCTTTTTCAGTTCTGCCCACATATTTTCTATAGGCTTGAGGTTAGGGCTTTGTGATGGCCACTCCAATACCTTGACTTTGTTGTCCTTAAGCCATTTTGCCACAACATTGGAAGTATGCTTGGGGTCATTGTTCATTTGGAAGACCCATTTGCGACCAAGCTTTAACTTCCTGACTGATGTCTTCTTATGTTGCTTCAATATATCCACATAATTTTCCTTCCTCATGATGCCATCTATTTTGTGAAGTGCACCAGTCCCTCCTGCAGCAAAGCCCCCCCACAGCATGATTCTGCCACCCCCGTGCTTCACAGTTGGGATGGTGTTCTTCGGCATGCAAGCATCCCCCTTTTTCCTACAAACATAACGATGGTCATTATGGCCACACAGTTCTATTTTTGTTTCATCAGACCAGAGGACATTTCTCCAAAAAGTACGATCTTTGTCCCCATGTGCAGTTGCAAACCGTAGTCTAGCTTTTTTATGCCGGTTTTGGAGCAGTGGCTTCTTCCTTGCTGGGCGTCCTTTCAGGTTATGTCGATACAGGACTCCTTTTACTGCGGATATAGATACTTTTGTACCTGCTTCCTCCAGCATCTTCACAAGGTCCTTTGCTGTTTTTCTGGGACTGATTTGCATTTTTCGCACCAAAGTACTAGGAGACAGAACGCGTCTCCTTCCTGAGCAGTATGACGGCTGCGTGGTCCCATGGTGTTTCTACTTGCGTACTATTGTTTGTACAGATGAACGTGGTACCTTCAGGCATTTGGAAATTGCTCCCAAGGATGAACCAGACTTGTGGAGGTGTAATATATTTTTTCTGAGGTCTTGGCTGATTTCTTTGGATTTTCACATGATGTTCAAGCAAAGAGGCACTGAGTTTGAAGGTAGCCTTGAAAAAATTCACATTATGTACACCTCAAATTGGCTTAAATTTGTGAGTGGGCAGTGTTGAACACGTTTTAGTGTGTTATGTTTCTATATAGACTCTGATAGTGCGGAGAGATATAGAGAGTATGCGCTAGAGTCGTAGAATATAGGATATCATCTCATCTCTCTATCCTACTCTCTCTCTATCTCTCTCTATCTCTTCTCTCTCTCTCTCTCTCTCTCCACACTCCTCATCTCTCTCTCTCTCTCTCGCTCTCTCATCTGTCTGTCTTTCTCTCACATGCTTGGTGTGAGAGAAGTAAAGTAGTATTACTACCTTTACCCTCTGGCTCTCGAAAGCCTTGCGGAGCTTCAGATAGTTGGTGAGGGCTCGCATGGCGATGGGCAGCTTGCCGATGACCTTGAGGTCGATGGGGCGGTGGTGGGCTGCCGTGATGAAGGTGTTCATCCACCAGTAGGTGGCCTTGGACAGCAGGTTGACGAAGGGCTGCAGGAACCGCACCCCCAGGTCCTGCAGGTCCTCTGGGGGCTTCACCTCCATAGCCTCAGTGAAACATAGGTAGCGCTGTGTGGAGGGACAGAGGGAGAAAAATTCACTTTTTCTCATACAAATGTGAACAATGCAATGAACTATGCAACTATTTGCTAACGTACATCCAGTTTCAGAAACACTTACTTAATCCAAGTTTTGAAGAGATAATGGTTAATTATCTTGTTGGCCTGTGCTCCACTGGATATCACAGATAGTGTCTGATCATTATGGGTGATGAAGAGTATTTGACTGTGAAGTTGGCTCTGTTGTGTATTAAATTATGGGTTGCATGATAACGGGTTGGCAAAAGTATCAATACCTTGGCAAAGCCTCCCTGTATCATTTTGTAACAAGATACTTTCGAGAGCTGTAATTTGTATTTTCGAAATACAAAATACTTTTCTATACACATTTTTTATTGAGGTTCACCATTTTGTGGCCCACCTTTCACCCTGCATTGGTATCAGAAGTCTGATGGCACTATGGTGTGATCAGAGCGTCTGCTAAATGGACTAAATATAAATGTGTTTGTAAAAATGGACAATTGAATGCTGAGTATTATTCTAATGAGCTCTGCCCCAAAACAAGGTTTTTTCTAGAAGGGTTACATCTTTTTTCAAAATTGACTTTTCGGAGCATGTTTAGGAGAACTTACACAGCAGGTTAAGAGAATATGACCTTGTTACATGTAACTACAAGGTCCCACTCGTCACAACAGTCCAGCACATTCTGCCTGATCTATCAGCCTAATGAGCAGACCTGTAGGCAGCAATACTGATCATCCAATGTGCAGGAGCATCCAAAATGCTAGATTGAAAGACACAGGAAAGACAGGAAAGAGATGGCCGCCAGTCACACTGAGGAAAATCGATGCATACACACAAATGTATGCTTGCACGTATGTACGTGCGTGCACACACACACACACACACACACACACACACACACACACACACACACACACACACACACACACACACACACACACACACACACACACACACACACACACACACACTCCTCACTCTAGGATGATACACACAAAAAGGTACACACAAATACACACACACAAATACATGGGCACACACACATATTCCATTCCACTCCCACACACACTGGTGCTCACCCTGCCCAGTATGACGTTGATCTCCACAGCCAGCAGTAGTCCGTAGAGCAGGACCAGGAGTCCTGTGATGCAGTAGCGGAGTTGTCTCAGGCCGATGCCGTGCTCCGTGTACTTGGCAAACTTGATGGTCTTCATCAGAAAGGCCAAGACCCAGTAGAACAGTAGAGCTTCAGAGAGGATCAGAGAGGAACATTAGAACATGTCTGGAATCATAAGGAACCACTCAGTCTGACTACGCAAGTCATTTTCAAGTCAACTCCTGATAAATGTAAAGGGTTAGGAACGTCCTATACATTCCTATACAGATGATGCAGAGATCCAGAGTAAGTCAAAGGAATTGAACACTGCATCAGGAGTGGACTGTCTTCTGTGAGGCACAGCGAATGTGAAGTGAATATCATGCATACATTTTATAATCTATGTTTCCTATCTTTCCTCTGCTTTTGACGGTTTAGTTTACATTTTGTGTCATAGCATTTCTGATGGCTCTACTCATGTTACAACTCAGTGTCAATAGGGAATAAACAGCTGTAATAAACTGTCAGAATTACTGTGCCTACCTGTCAAAAGACAAATCACTCACTATGCGCTCCATTCTAAATCCCCAAGACACAGCCTAGCTTACCTGACAGATCCTCAACACGGGGGCCCCTCAGGGGTGTGTGCTCAGTCCCCTCCTGTACTCCCTGTTCACCCATGACTGCATGGCCAGGCACGACTCCAACACCATCATTAAGTTTGCCGACGACACAACAGTGGTAGGCCTGATCACCGACAACGATGAGACAGCCTATAGGGAGGAGGTCAGAGACCTGGCCATGTGGTGCCAAGATAACAACCTCTCCATCAACGTGATCAAGACAAAGGAGATGATTGTGGACTACAGGAAAAAAAAGAGGACTGAGCAAGCCCCCATTCTCATCGACGGGGCTGTAGTGGAACAGGTTGAGAGCTTCAAGATCCTTGGTGTCCACATCACCAACAAACTATCATGGTCCAAACACACCAAGACAGTCGTGATGAGGGCACGACAATGCCTATTCCCCCTCAGGAGACTGAAAAGATTTGGCATGGGTCCTCAGATCCTCAAAAAGTTATACAGCTGCACCATCGAGAGCATCGTGACTGGTTGCATCACCGCCTGGTATGGCAACTGCTCGGCCTCCGACCGCAAGGCACTACATAGGGTAGTGCGTACGGCCCAGTACATCACCGGGGCCAAGCTTCCTGCCATCCAGGACCTCTATACCAGGCGATGTCAGAGGAAGGCCCTAAAATTTGTCAAAGACTCCAGCCACCCTAGTCTATGTTCTCTCTGCTACCGCATGGCAAGCAGTACCGGAGCGCCAAGTCTAGGTCCAAAAGGCTTCTTAACAGCTTCTACCCCCAAGCCATAAGACTCCTGAACAGCTAATCATGGCTACCCAGACTATATGCATTGACCCCCCCCCACCACACCCCACCCTCTTATACACTGCTGCTACTCTGTATATTATCTACAGTGCCTTGCAAAAGTATTCATCCCCCTTGTCATTTTTTATATTTTGTTGCATTACAACCTGTAATTTAAATGTTTTTTTTATTTGGATTTCATGTAATGGACATACACTAAATTGTCCAAATTGGTGAAGTGAAATTAAAAAAATAACTTGTTTCAAAAAATTCTAAAAAATAAATAACGGAAAAGTGGTGCTTGCTATGAAGCCCCTAAATATATTTATTTATTTTATTTATTTTACCTTTATTTAACCAGGTAAGCCAGTTGAGAACAAGTTCTCATTTACAACTGCGACCTGGCCAAGATAAAGCAAAGAAGTGCGATAAAAACAACAACACAGAGTTACATATGGGGTAAAACAAAACATAAAGTCAAAAATACGACAGAAAATAGAAAATATATATACAGTGTGTGCAAATGTAGCAAGTTATGGAGGTAAGGCAATAAATAGGCCATAGTGCAAAATAATTACAATTACGGTAGTATTAACACTGGAATGATAGATGTGCAAGAGATTATGTGCAAATAGAGATACTGGGGTGCAAATGAGCAAAATAAATAACAATATGGGGATGAGGTAGTTGGGTGGGCTAATTTCAGATAGGCTGTGTACAGGTGCAGTGATCGGTAAGGTGCTCTGACAACTGATGCTTAAAGTTAGTTAGGGAGATAAGAGTCTCCAGCTTCAGAGATTTTTGCAGTTCGTTCCAGTCATTGGCAGCAGAGAACTGGAAGGAATGGTGGCCAAAGGAGGTGTTGGCTTTGGGGATGACCAGTGAGATATACCTGCTGGAGCGAATACTACGGGTGGGTGTTGCTATGGTGACCAATGAGCTAAGATAAGGCGGGGATTTGCCTAGCAGTGATTTATAGATGGCCTGGAGCCAGTGGGTTTGACGACGAACATGTAGTGAGGGCCAGCCAACGAGAGCCACAATGGTGGGTAGTATATGGGGCTTTGGTGACAAAACGGATGGCACTGTGATAGACTACATCCAATTTGCTGAGTAGAGTGTTGGAGGCTATTTTGTAAATGACATCGCCTAAGTCAAGGATTGGTAGGATAGTCAGTTTTACGAGGGCATGTTTGGCAGCATGAGTGAAGGAGGCTTTGTTGCGAAATAGGAAGCCGATTCTGGATTTAACTTTTGATTGGAGATGCTTAATGTGAGTCTGGAAGGAGAGTTTACAGTCTAACCAGACACCTAGGTATTTGTAGTTGTCCACATACTCTAGGTCAGACCCGTCGAGAGTAGTGATTCTAGTCGAGTGGGCAGGTGCCAGCAGTGTTCGATTGAAGAGCATGCATTTAGTTTTACTTGTGTTTAAGAGCAGTTGGAGGCTACGGACGGAGTGTTGTATGGCATTGAAGCTCGTTTGGAGGTTTGTTAACACAGTGTCCAATGAAGATGTATACAAAATGGTGTCGTCTGCGTAGAGGTGGATCTGAGAATCACCAGCAGCAAGAGCGACATCATTGATATACACAGAGAAAAGAGTCGGCCCAAGAATTGAACCCTGTGCCACCCCCATAGAGACTGCCATAGGTCCAGACAACAGGCCCTCCGATTTGACACATTGAACTCTATCTGAGAAGTAGTTGGTGAACCAGGCGAGGCAGTCATTTGAGAAACCAAGGCTATTTAGTCTGCCAATAAGAATGCGGTGGTTGACAGAGTCGAAAGCCTTGGCCAGGTCGATGAAGACGGCTGCACAGTACTGTCTATTATCGATCGTGGTTATAATATCGTTTAGGACCTTGAGCGTGGCTGAGGTGCACCCATGACCAGCTCGGAAACTGGATTGCATAGCGGAGAAGGGGCGGGCATGGGCAAGTTGCAGCGGAGGGTGCAGAGCTGGTGACCGGGGTAGTGTAATAAATAAGATCTGGTGCAACCAATTACCTTCAGAAGTCACATAATTAGTTAAATAAAGTCGACCTGTATGCAATCTAAGTGTTACATAATCTGTCACATAATCTCAGTATATATACACCTGTTCTGAAAGGCCCCAGAGTCTGCAACACAACTAAGCAAGGGGCACCACCAACCAAGCGGCACCATGAAGACCAAGGAGCTCTCCAAACAGGTCAGGGACAAAGTTGTGGAGAAGTACAGATCAGGGTTGGGTTATCAAAAAATATAAGAAACTTTGAACATCCCATGGAGCACCATTAAATCCATTATACATTTTTTTTAAAGAAGATGGCACCACAACAAACCTGCCAAGAGAGGGCCACCCACCAAAACTCACAGACCAGGCAAGGAGGGCATTAACTAGAGAGGCAACATAGAGACCAAAGATAACCCTGAAGAAGCTGCAAAGCTCCACAGCGGAGATTGGAGTATCTGTCCATAGGACCACTTTAAGCTGTACATTCCACAGAGCTGGGCATTACAGAAATGTGGCCAGAAAAAAGCCATTGCTTAAAGAAAAAAATAAGCAAACAATTTTGGTGTTCGCCAAAAGGCATGTGGGAGACACCCCAAAAATATGGAAGAAGGTACTCTGGTCAAATGAGACTAAAATTGAGCTTTTTGGCCATCAAGGAAAACGCTATGTCTGGCCCAAAACCAACACCTCTCATCACCCCGAGAACACCAAACCCTAAGCATACTGCTAAAGCAACACTCAAGTGGTTTAAGGAGAAACATGTAAATGTCTTGGAATGGCCTAGTCAAAGCCCAGACCTCAATCCAATTGAGAATCTGTGGTATGACTTAAAGATTGCTGTAAACCAGCGGAACCCATCCAACTTGAAGGAGCTGGAGCAGTTTTGCCCTGAAGAATGGGCAAAAATCCCAGTGGCTAGATGTGCCAAGCTTATAGAGACATACCCCAAGAGACTTGCAGCTGTAATTCCTGCAAAAGGTGGCTCTACAAATTATTGACTTTGGGGGGTTGTCACGCCCTGACCTTAGAGATCACCTGTATTCTCTGTTTGGTTAGGTCAGGGTGTGATTTGGATAGAATCTAGTTTATTCTATTTCTCTGTTGGCCGGGTGTGGTTCCCAATCAGAGGCAGCTGTCTATCGTTGTCTCTGATTGGGGATCATACTTAGGCAGCCATTTTGCCTACCTTTAGTGGTGGGATCTTGTTTCTGTTTAACCTTGTTTCTGTTTGCTGTTAGCCTTTAGAACATCACGTTCAGTTGCTTTTGTTATTTTGTCAAGTGTTTATTATAATATTAAACATGTACGCATACCACGCTGCACCTTGGTCCAATCCTTTATACAACGAACGTGACAGGGGTGAATAGTTATGCACGCACAAGTTTTCTTATTTCTTGTTTGTTCCACAATAAAAAATATTTTGCATCTTCAAAGTGGTAGGCATTTTGTTTAAATCAAATGATACAAACCCCCCAAAAATCAATTTTAATTCCAGGTTGTAAGGCAACAAAATAGGAAAAATGTCAAGTGGGGTGAATACTTTCACAAGCCACTGTTTGCATAGTAACTTTACATATTATATATTAATACTTTAATAACTCTACCTACATGTACATATTACCTCGACTAACCGGTGCCCCCGCACATTGACTCTTTACCGGTACCCCCTGTATATAGCCTCCCTACTGTTATTTTATTTTACTGCTGCTCTTTAATTATTTTAATTTTTTTACTTCGCTATTTTTTACGTAACACTTTTTTTCTTAAAACTGCATTGTTGGTTAAGGGCTTGTAAGTAAGCATTTCACTGTAAGGTCTACACCTATTGTATTCAGCGCATGTGGCAAATACAATTTGATTTGATTTGATTGTGCATCTAGCGAGTGAGGAATGTGCCGTCTTATGTGCTGGTCCCAACAAAAATTACATTAAAAAAAAATAATAATAAGCGATGGTCCT